ATTTTCAACTTGAAATATCTTCAAACTAATGAAATATGAAGTTATTAGTGAGAAAAATCTGTCTAGATAACAGCAGACTGTCTGTTCTTAAAATATACGACAGGTCTAGACCACTCGTGAATTTTGTTCATTTCTGAAAAAAATCTTAGAATACAAAAACATTGGTGAATGCCACAAATTCTCCTAAATCACTCGTACGCACAACTTAAGAACAAATCTGTGCGTACGAACGGTTCTTGCATGAGGCCCATTCTTACCAGTTCCTAAACACAACCTCAGGCAATTTCTGAGAAAAGAGAAAATATTTGAAAAAATAAATAAAAACAAGTATGTGTGTGTGAGGGAGAATGCACATTTTTGTTTGTCAGTACAAGGGTGAAAACTATTTACAAGTTTTTATTAGTGCTGGGCACGTTAACGTGTTATTATCGCGTTAACGCAGCCGACAATTAACGGCGATAATGTTTTTAAYGCGCATTAACGCAGTTTCTTTACATTTCTCAGTCTGATGTCTGTTCTCTGATCTGTCTATGAAGACGCACACACACACACACAGACACACACTATCTTGATCACTATTGGCTTTAGAAAGCCTTCATTGTACGTCTCATCCAATGAGAGCCTTTATTGTTGAGCGTGCAGCCGCTCACATGAACCCCAGCTGATGCTGAGGGAAACATACCTGAAGCTGCTGGATTCTTCAGAGCATTTTTTTATTTTAAAACCTTTCCAAATGGTGGGCAGGGAGGAAGTAAAGTTATCTGTAAGCGCTGCAACGCTAAACTGTCTCACCACCGGAGCAGTTTGAGCTGAAGTATCTCTTCAGTTTAAAACCAGGGTAAACAGACAGAGGGAAGTTCTGCTGACCAGAGTGTGGGAGAAAGAGGAAAAGGTAAGACTGGTTTGATTTGCCTTATTTGTTTAAAGTGTTTGAAAATTAATTGCCCCCTTTATGTACTATAAAACAGTACTTAAAATGCTGTAAACTTATTCAATTCTGTTAAATTTTGTGCAGAATAATGAAATTAAATCAAGAATTCAAGGATTTTCTTGTCATTGCAAATGAGTATTATGAATGAAAGATAGATGAGGCCCCTGTTGTCAGGAAAAAATACAATAAGAAGTTAAAATGAAAAACAAGAGAAAAAATGTACACAGTGTGTCACACATATTTCAACAACATACAAACGTACACATTCAGCAATAGTAGAGTGATTGTTTCTAAAAAGAATAATAATAACTGCGATTAATCGCGATTAAAAATTTAAATCTATGCCCAGCACTAGTTTTTATACATTTGAGCTCAGTTTCTGGTTATTGTGTGTTGCTCAACTAATATTTTATTATAAAATAAAATACATGTCAAAATCAGATTGTTGTTCACCAGATCCTTCTTGTATAATTAAAGTGTGTGTGTGTGTGTGTGTGTGTGTGTGTGTGTGTGTGTGTGTGTGTGT